TATATATGTATATATATATATATATATATATATATATATATATATATATATATATATATATATATATATATCACAAAAGCAAAACAGGAAAGTACTGGGCAGCAGAGAAAGCAATCAGAAAAATTAGTTTTGAATGAATATTTGCTGTCATCAACTCATTGGACTTGCAGCCACCTGAAAATGGGTAAATAACAGTACAGATTTCACAGATTGAGTCCGAAATAGACATGTGCCGGTATGTGCTGGTATTTGGTAATGCGATACATCGCGATAATGAACATGCACGATATTGTTATCGTAGGCACTTCAAAATACAGAGAATAATTATTTATTACAAATTATTCAGAATTTTGAATGCATTTTAAGAATAGTTTCCCCATCAACTGGTCACAATGCACAATGCCGCTGTATGCTGTGTCACAGACACGTGTGCACTCTGATGTAAACAAGCACGGATGAGAAGCGCATGGCGGAGCGCGTGAGACGCTCTGGATGGAATCGCACATTCACTCTGACAGCAGAAGGCGCTAAACATAATGCAGCTGTTACCCCGGAAACAAATTTTAATTATTATTAGGGATGCACCGATATGAAAATTTTGGCCGATACCGATAACCGATTATTCTTTATTTTTGAAAGCCGATAAGCGATATGTTGGCCGATAAATCTATATCCAAATTGTTATATACTTTTTGAGAGCCTGATTACAAAAAAGGTCTCATCATTAAAAACCACATCCCGAACACTTCAACATAAGCAGCCTAGTTTGAACGGTGTACGTTTAAAAAATAATTTTACTCTCCCATTACCAAATTTAGTCATAAAAAAGTCTTACAAATAAATAAAATTATGCATAAATAATGCAAACAAGTCACTGGACATCATTACACGTGTAAAGAATCAAAATGAATGCGCCATAGATCAATAAAACGGAAGTTTCCCCATCAACTGGTCACAATGCACAATGCCGCTGTATGCTGTGTCACAGACACGTGTGCACTCTGATGTAAACAAGCACGGATGAGAAGCGCATGGCGGAGCGCGTGAGACGCTCTATGGGCCGATACCGATATGGTGGCCGATATATCGTGCATCCCTAATTATTATATTATAAAACCTATTTAAATGATTTAAATAGCCATTCAGATTTGTGTATTCGCTATGGTGTTCATCACAGCGCCAAATATTTAAACTTAATAGGCCATTTATTTTTACATTTTTTTACATTTTATTCTGGACTACAACATGCCCTAAATATTGTTTGAAAGTGATTTGATTCTTTATTGTTCGGTCACACTTTACATTAGGGCTTCATTAGTTAACATAAACTGCCAATGAAAAAAATCTTCTAAACATACATTAATCTTGGGTAATTCCAATATTTAATAACACTTTGTTAAAATCAAAAGTTGCAACTGTGTTATTTAATGAGTTAACATGAACTAAGAGTTGTATTTTTTTAAATAAAGATTAATAACTTCTGTAACAAATGTAGCTATTGCTCATTGTGAATGTTAATGCATTAACTAAGGTTAACTAATGATATCTTATTGTAAAGTGATACCTATTGGTCTTTATAATTCTTTTGCACTTTAATCTGTGTAAAAAGTTTAACTATACATTTTTTGTGTATTGCTTTATTGTTTTTAAATGTTCAGTTATTTTTGTTATGAGAAAAAAGTTATTAAACCTGTTATACTGTATTATGACAACACTTTTTTGAAACTAAATTTCAATACCGTGATAATACCGTATACCGTGATAAAAGGATTAGCAATTAATCGCAACATGATATTTGATACCGGCATATCCCTAGTCCGAAACATCTGTATCTTCCAGAACAAGCCCGAAAGACCAGAGCATGCGGTCAGCAGTTGAAAATCAAATGGTCAAAGCCAGGGCTGCCAGGGTCAGTAAGGAGACACAACAAACATGGCAGAAACAGCAAACAGAAAGAACACAAAACACCTAATGAACCCCCAATGTGGAAAATGAGGCCAAGCCACACCATCACATTAAACTGTCCACGCTGAAATACTCACCCTCCGGTCGAGCTTATCACCCTGCAAAAACCACAGCACATTTCATTTTGAAATTTAGTGACAACCACAAGGTACCATTCCCATACGAGTTCAAAGTGTCTCCAAAATTTGAGACACTTGCCCCACACACCTGTTGAAAAAACAGCTTAGACCAGTATGAACTTGATGGTCTAGGCCTTTTTATGCTGGTTTGGTGCTGGTCTAGCCAGGGCCGTAACCACCATAGAAATTAAGGGAGGGTGACCATACGTCCTCTTTTCATCAGACATGTCCTTTCTTTAGACCTAAAAAATTGCATCTGGCCGGGATTGCTAAATCACCCAAAATGTCCGGGATTTCAGTCGCCATTCATTGTGTGCGTTTTGTATTAGAGCCCTGCCCCAGACTGTTTTCTTAATCCCACTCCCGCTGAATTTCTGACCATTACCTGCTCCCACAAATATTCTAATATTGCATACCATTTTTGCGCATCAGGGAGCCGCTATCAATATGCGGAGTATTTAAATCACTTTGGATGCAGCTCATGTTGGATGCAGGGTTGGCAAATCTGCAGTTTTTGCACGGAATTGGGCTGATTTTAAACTGTTGCGGTGGGTTGATTTTCTCCCATGGGTTACAGGTTTGAAATATTGCATAAATTACAATTGACTGAAATGCTTGTTTTGAAACATTTTGCATTCTACCTATGATAAAACTGTGGTAGATGTTAAGTTTTGTGAAGGATGGCCACTGGTAGGAAGCTTTGTAGTTGGGTTTATGATCAATCTGCATCACAGTGACTGTAAAATATGTATTTTAGGTATGGAAAATGACATATTGTGAGTTTTGATATACTTTGGGGGCTACTTTAACCCTTTAATCTTTACTTAATATCCTAATGATTTTTGGCATAAAGGAAAAAACGATAATTTTGACCCATACAATGTATTGTTGGCTATTGCTAAAAATATACCTGTGCTACCTATGACTGGTTTTGTGATCTAGGGTCACATTTATTATTTAATTGATTTACGAAAAGAAATGTTCACGACAAACAGTAATATTCAGTGATAAAAACTGCTCAACCTTTTTGTCAAATTTAGCTTTGAATCGAAAATACATGCTGTCATTTATGTGATTCATGTAATTCTTTAAAATTAATGTGATGAGACAGGAAGGCATTTTTTTTGTGTGTTTGCAACATTCTGCATACAAATAAGACAAATGGTGCATATTTAAAAATATTACGGTTCAAATTAGTGCCTTTACCAAAAAAATTTATTCTTTCTCTTGAAGTGTTTTTCTTTATTCCTCTGAATCCATGTAAACTTTTTTTTATTTAATTAATTTAAATTACCATTGGGGTCTTTTTAAAAGACCTTCACAGAAAATGCCCCCCCCCCAAGCCTGAGAACAAACACAACATAGTCTGGTCTTTTCAACAGTGAGTGTATGAAAAAAAAAGTGGATAGTACGGTAGAATTACTGAGGTAAAAAATCCAAAAGTTTCAATACCCTTGACTAAAGTCCACAAGCTCAGAGCCTTAAACCCAAAATGTCGACTAAACAGCCATGAAAACACACACTGCCACATTTTAAAGTTGAGAGGGTACCTGGGACAGGATGTTGGTGCACTGCTGGAGAAGAGAAACGGGTGGCTTGCCGAGACTGGTGGCCAATTGTACCCGTAGCAGCTGTTCTTTCTGGGTGAGGTTATCCTGCAGCGCATGAGCTAGAGCCACAGCGGCACACCAGTTTGACAGAGAGTCTGCTGAGAACAGACCTCCACACAATAACTGTCCCGCTGAGATAGAGTTAGCTGATGACAGAGAGACATGACAGGGGTCATAAAATATACACAAATGACAAGGGGAAAAAAATTATTTTTAATGTAAAAGTTTGATCAAAAATTTAAACCGTAAAAAACAAACAAAATAACTTTGGTGGTTATCTTTCGGATGGTTATTTAAGTTGGTTAAATTATAGCATCATTTCACAAAGAAAATAACAGCTACAATGGGACACAGTTTTTGGACAGAAATTGTCCTCCTACTGTTCCCATGTATAAAACATAACCAAATGAAGTCAAGTGATGCATGAATACTCGACACCAAGGCATCAATTAAAGGGTTAGTTCACCCAAAAATTTAAATTAGCCCATAAATTACTCACCCTCAAGTCATCCTAGGTGTATATGACTTTCTTCTTTCAGACAAATCCAGTCGGAGTTATATTAAAAATTGTCTTTGATCTTTCAAGCGGTTTAATGCCACTCAGCGGGTGTTGGATGCATCAGTCCAAAAGAAGTTAAAGGTGCAGTAGGAGATCTTGGAAAATGCTAACTGTTGGCCAAATGCTAACTGTTGGTGCAAGCTACATTAAAGTGATTATTACGTTTTGAATATGGATATTTTTCTTACAAAAACGCATCGATTCGTTACAGGAGGCCTTTGTTCACCCCCCGGATCCATGTAAGGCAAATTTTTATGGATGGGCGCTTTTTATTTAACTTCTTTTGGACTGATGCATGCAACCCCCGCTGAGTGGCATTAAACAGCTTGAAAGATCAAAGATAATTTTTATATAACTCCGACTGGATTTGTCTGAAAGAAGAAAGTCATATACACCTAAGATGACTTCAGGGTGAGTAATTTATGGGCTAATTTTTATTTTTGGGTGAACTAACCCTTTAATGGCAGAACTAGTCAGGGCAACCCTTACCATCTATAGTGGAGGGCAGCAGTGTGGCTACAATCTCCCCCTGTCCTTTATGGTTCTTGTACAGGAAGCATTGGAAGCAGTAAAGTACAGCACAGCGGAGAACAAACGGCTGTCTCTCATTCACCATCGACATTAGAAGAACCACAATCGCAGGCCTGGAGGAAACAGCCAATATGTTCATATTACCAACTCTTTCTTTTTTGGTTACTGTTTCAATAAACAGTGCTAAGGACAAACCAGACCTTGGTGGATTGGATGGCGCGTTAACTGATGCAAAGTAGTCCTGATTCACTTCAGAGCCACGTATGACTTCTGACACAGTATTGATGGTCTGCACAAGAAAGACAAATAGAAATTACTTTAAACATTTCAGTTGGTACATCACTGGTAGTGATATTTGATACAGTTAAAAAGAAGTAAAAAACAGTAGCTTTGTGTACATGGCGCAATACTGCACTTTTTTTTAACTGAATGCTGCACAGTTAGGGGTAATGTTTTTGACAGTTTTGCTAACATCTCGCATCATTTTCAGTATCTCGCACGTGAGCACTGCATTTTTTAAATTAGTTACACTGAGACAATGCATTCTTTTTACATTCCACTACTTGTGCCTCTCAATTTTAAATGCAAAAACGTGTATTGTGTGAATGACCCCTTACTTCGTAAGTGCTTAATAGGGATACATTTCTTTGAACAGTGGTTTCACTATCTGATGCATGTACACTGGTTGCTATAGTAATGACACAAGTGAAACATTACTGGAGTCCGCACACCCACATTTATACAATACTGCACACTGAATGACAAAAATGAACAGACTTTAACTTTAATCTTCACTTAAAGGGTTAGTTCACTTCCAGAATAAAGATTTCCTGTTAATTTACTCACTCTGTGACACTGTCACACAAGGACACATGTTTATACCGCTCAATATATATATATATATATATATATATAAAGATGGTTTTATCTCTATATATTTTAATGGTTTTACATGTTGTCTAAGCCAGTGTTTCCTAACCGGGGTGCTGTCTGTCGAGAGCAGGGGTGCCATGTAAAAAAAAAAACTTTTTTAATATTTTTAAATTGCCAAAATGTTCAAAAAAGCAGCTATTATATAATATCCATTTTTGATGTCGCCAATAATTAGAGATGCACTGAAATTTCGGCTGCTGAAAACTAGTTCACCGCTCAGGATTCACTTTCACGTGGTGTGACGCTCTGCGTATTATCCCACTCTATGCGTATGTGAGCTCCGCTCAGTCGCTCACGGCCCATGTGAGTGCTCCACTCATATACCGTTCATGCTCATCGGAACAGCAAAGTCCACTCAAAAATCGAGCTGACAGGATACATCTATGTAGTACAGTATTGTTTCTGTCTGCAATAGCCCTACTGTTGTAACAAGGTGTGGTAAATGGGCAACTCTGGTAATGCTGCCCTCTCATTCATTGATCTGCTACCGTTATGCTCACGTGTCCTCTGATAATAATAGCTTTCTAGGATTAAGCATTATTTGGATAATTGGTAAAAAAAAAAAAAAAAAAAATCTCTTAATAGCCCTACTGTGTGTTAGACCTACCTGAAAAACTAAAAAAGCAATTTATTTCATTTGTAGGCCTATCGTGATTTTTTTAATTTGTGCTATCATTAGTAATGTCTTTACTTGTTCTTATTTTATTATTAACTGCTTAGCCTACTTGTCATTTTTTATTCAATTCAAAGTTTTAAATCACGCTATCTCATGCTACTGCAACAAAATTACCCAGCTGTAAAATCTGAGAGAGCAAAACTTTGTTTAATTACCATTATAACTAACTATCTCACAATGTTTACATATGAATAAAAGCCTACATTAAAATCTGTCATATAAATTGTTCTTTTCATTAGAAATTAGCCTACTGATTGCCACCATTGATGGACAATTCTTTTTTATAATATTAAAAATATCTGTATGATAGTATATTCTGCAGTTCTTCCTTATGATACTTTTCAAAGTATCATATCGAAGTTAGAAATTCAAATATTGTGACAATTTATTTTGTAGGGTGCCGCAAATTTGTTCAAATTTCCAAAGGGTGCCGCGACTAAAGAAAGGTTGGGAAACACTGGTCTAAGCCATTGTATTCCTCTTATTCATTTTAATGTGTGTGTATGTCTTTAAATGTAAATGGGTCTGCCTCTCACGTGATCAATCACATGACAGAAATAAGGAACTAGACCAGTATAAAGAAAGCAGCATGTCAAACAATGAGGGTCATTGACCAAACCACTGCACTCGCTGGATTATATAGAGTTATTTCAGGATTTACCATTCCAGAATTTCACACATCTTGGATTATCACTTACTTTGGACTGTATATACACCAGTGGACACTTTTACCTTGGGACTTCAACACACTAGGATTCTTAAGGACTGTTTGAGGGCGTACGATTCAAATGGACAATCGGCTTTTAACAGCCTAAGTTATTCTAGTTTTATTGTGTTGTTTTAAGTTCCTTGTGCATTATGTAAATGCACTATTTACTAATTCTACGTTTGTTGTTGTCTCATCTTTTTAAAACACTTATTTTACCCAGTTTAATCTGACCCCATTTTAAATCCATGTAATTCGGCCGATAAATCAGATCGTTACAACTCTCATGTGATCCAAGATGCTCATGTCTTTTGTCGAAAAGAAATGTAGGATTTTGAGGAAAACATTCCAGGATTGTCTCCATATAGTGGACTTCAATGGGAGCCAACGGGTTGAGGGCCCAAATTACACTATCTACACGATCCCAGCCGAGGAACATGGATCTCATCTAGTGAAACGTTTGGCCGTTTTCTAAAAATCGGTCATTTTCTAGCTCGACCTCATGCATTACGTAATCACGTTGGAAAGGTCACACGTGAACTAGGCGGAAGTACCGACCCAGTGTTTACAACGTCAAGTGAACATGCAAAGTCAAACACCCTTTACAAAAAAAAGGTAAACAATGATGTCGGATGATTTTGAAGTTGGACGAGAAAATGAGATGGAGTTTTTCCACCCTACCCTACCTTTTAGAACTGCAGTGCACAGATGAAAAACTAAGTCCAAGATGAGGATTTGTGGTTAAAAAGTACATACATTTTTATTTCTTTTAGAAAATGACCAATCATTTCGCTAGATGAGATCCTTATTCCTCTGCTGGGAATGTGTAGAGCTGAAGCTGCATTGAAACTGCAATATGGACCTTCAACCCATTGGCTGCCACTAAGTCCACCATATGGACAACAATCCAGGAATGTTTTCCTCAAAAAACTTAATTTCTTTGTGACTGAAGAAAGAAAGAAAGACACGAACATCTTGGATGACAAAATTATCAGGAAATTTTTATTCTGGATGTGAATTAATCCTTTAAGACTGAAACGGATTCATCAGAATGGATTTGGGCACTTAAATCGAAAGTACTGTTCAAAACTCTCTACATGTGACTAAATATTGTGGTAGGTGACCAAATAATGTCCACTGTTAGATTTCACTTGCCAGTGATTGAGTTAGAGGCTAAAAAGTTTAGCGCAGATATATTTTCGCTCGCCTACACTACACTCTGACAAAGCGCTTGAGAGTTTCACTCTCTGTATTTTCAGTGCACTATTCCTATTGATATCAATAGAAGCGCAGCAGTAATCTAAAGCACTGTAAACTTTGAAAATAAGGTTCCGACAGCAATCTGACCTCTGTGAGGATGTCTGCAGGAACACCTGTGGCCATGAGGATGGTGCAGAGCTGCTGGAGGAGACCACACTGGAACATGGCTTTCTGACAGCTGGTTGTGGCCCCTGGAGAGTTCACTGGAGAAACCATCACTCGTACCAGCTACAGAGAGAAAACACAACTAGAGATTTTAACTCATCTTCACATAACAAAACAATGCTCACTGACTGTTGATCCTATGCAACCTGGATTTTTTTTGTTTGGAATATGAAAGAATCATTAGCTGGTATAGGTAGATAACTAGAAGAACAACAAAGTGCAGTAAACAGTTTAGCTATTTTGTGTTTAAAAAACATTGCATTTATGATTAAGCTAATGAATTAAAATAATAGGATGACAAATAGGCTAACAGGTTGCAATATAAAGCAGCATAACAGACTGCTTTTATACAAGTCAAATAAATGTAAGCAAACGACACCGGATCAATCGTACATTCAAATGACCAATAGCCATGCCAGCTCTTATATTAAAATAAGGTGGGTAATATTGCAGGATCATCAATATAATAAAAATAAAAACACTAATAAATAATAACATTATTATTATTATGATAACTTGAACTTTTCAAGTAATCTTCATAAAAACTAAATTCACAGTAAATGTTAATTCCACAATAAATCTTATTGGAACAACATATTAAATGGATTCTTCATATCAGACCTGTAGCATTAGATGGAGGTTGGTGACCTTCTGTGCCGACCAGCCAGAGTTGTCATCCCCCACTTCAAACCATGGCTTCATCTTTTGGACATAGGAGCCTTCTTTAAAAAAATTCTGGTTGGAGCTATTGTTCTTCAGGAGGTTGAGCAACAATAAGAGACAGTCCTCCACCACAATACCTGTGAGGTGAAGATTAATGAACAATCTGTGGCAATTCAGGATGGAAACTCATTTTCTATTATAAAATTGAAAAGTGTCCGTTAACTGTATACCTCCGTCACTTGAACCCTCCTCTGTGATAATTTCAAGAAGTCTCTCAAATGCATTTTCAAAAGCCACAATTTTCTGTATTGCAGTGTTGCCTTTGGTTAACTGCTGCAGCAGCAGGAGACCCTTAATGGGGAAAAAAGTAAAATGGTTTCATTTAACTTCAAAAAACACTTCGCCTATGAACATTCATGTTAATGTAGAGTAATAACACTTACATCATTACGGATAACTTCTCTGGAGTCAGCAAGTAGATCCATTAACCTGGACACTCCTATCGAGTGTGAAAACACAACATTAGAAACCAAATATCTAGAAAAGAATCCATACAGCTTTAAATAATGATAAAGAAGCAAAAGTCATCACAGATACTGACATGTGAGAGTAAAATGAAAAAAATGAAAACAGGGGTGTGAGGAACAGAAATAGAGTTCACGTAAGTCTGGAAATATTTATCCTCCAACTTTCAAGTGGCCAAAGCAATGGGTTATGAATATCCCAACCGACCCAGTGGGTCTATACATTGTTTTAAAATGTTTTTGAAAAATGTTCACCAAGGCTGCAATCATTTGATCAAAAACAATAAATCAGTAACATTATGAAATGTTATCAAAACAAAATACTGTTTTCCATTATAATATTTTAAAGGGGTGCTATTATGCTTTTTCACTTTTTCAACTTTAATCTGTAATGGTCCAGATTAAAGATAAAAGATCTGCAAAGTTACAAAGCTCAAAAGTCCACTTCAAAAGGAGATATTTTATTTAACAGAAATCACTTTTCAAAAACTACAATGAACGACTCGTTTGGACTACAACACAAATTTTCCGGGATTTGTGATATCACAAAGATCGACGAATGGGACGAGACCTGGTTGAGCTGCACTAGAGAAGGCAACGAGTGTTATTACTATGTCGGAGACACGCTAGCTTTCCCAAGGCAGACGAACTTAGAGTGGTTACAATCATCCGGGTTTAAATTGTGCTCAAATTGATTTGAAAGCTATCAAGCGGCTATGGTTAGGGGCATGACATTTCCCGACCACCGAGTGCTGCCAATCACAACACACACTGGCCCAGCTAACCAATCACAGCACATTTCGTATTTCAGAAGGCGTTCCTTCATTTGATACAGGAACTATTCGAGCCGTTCATGCCAGACTGGGGAGAGAGGTGTTGTAATAATGTAAAATATGAGAAAAATAATGTGTTTTTCGAACAACCTAGTATGAGAGCCTGTTTTAGTACACCCTCAAAACAAAATCAAGACTTTGTAAAAGAGCATAATAGGACCCCTTTAAAATGTAATTTTTTCCTGTGATGACAAAGCTGAATTTTCAACAGTCATTACTCCAGTCTTCAGTGTCACACAATCTTTCAGAAACCATTTTAATATGTTGATTTGTTGTTTTCAGGATTCTTTGAAGAAGAGAAAGTTTTAAAAGAACAGTTTTCATTGTTATTTTGTAACAATGTATAAGTCTTTACTGTCAATTTTATACATCCTTGCTTAAAGATGACATTTCATGAAAATCGGACTTTTCCAGGTTTTAAGTGCTATAATCAGGTCTCCGGTGCATCTACCAACCAAGGAAACGTGAAAGAGTTTTGTTAAGCCTTTTTCTGCAAGCGTCTGAGAAAACGAGCACGTCTGATTTCGCTCCCTTGGTGACGTGGCAAAGGGATCTCATTATAATATTACCTCCCCTTAATCTGTAAATTTACACCCACGGTGCCATCATTTGATTTCGCAAGCGACAACGTTGTACCAGTTCTAATGCCATGGCGACAGTTTGAGCACACCATGCTAACTGTTCTGTCTTTGGCTGCACAGAACACTATTTACAGTCCCAGCCTCAGAGGAGACAAGAGAGCAGTGGATTTATTGATTAATTTACTGTATATTGCTGCTGCCACACAGTCCTAAAATAAACATGCAATTTAGTTCCCAGCTGTTTACCTTCACAGACATATCCGACTGTTTTTTGTAACTCGTGTGTTTTTAACGTAAACTTGTGTGTGAATGAGAACTTAGTTTAGTACTCACATGCTGTGACAGCCGCTTTCTGTCCGTGTGCTTCGGATGTGTGCACTCAGAAAACCATATATCAGAAGTTTAAACTAATATGGTTTAAAACGCATGATTTCAGTCAAATAAACATGATAATCAGAACCAAAACAGATGTTTTTAGCAGGTCCGAGCTGTAAAGATACAGCTCTATTCTGGAAAATGGGGCGGGGAGCAGCAGCTCATTTGCATTTAAAGAGACAGGCCCAAAAAACAGCGTGTTTCTGCTTCCACTCAAAATAGGCATTTACAAAATGATATAATAAGTGATCTGTGGAGTATTTTGATCTGAAACTTCACAGACACATTCTGGGGACACCAGAGACTTATATTACATACTGTAAAAAGGGGCATAATATGTCTCCTTTAATAAAAGTATTTATTTTGCTGCATATTAGCAAAGTCCCTTTCAAGGTCCACGCGGCCACCATATTTGCAACACCTCCGGGCAGCTCAAACAAGACCAAGTCCTATCTAAACGAATGGGGGAATCCTGAAATCTAAAAAACAGCTCACTGAACTCGAGATTAAATTACATATTTCAAATCAGCAACAAAATCTGAAATGAACCCCATGAATGTTGCTTCTTATGCTCAAATAGCTTTTAAAAAGCTTATTTTTCAGGTCCAGCCGCAGGTTTCTATGGGAACCGGAGCTTTTACCGCCCGCTGCAGTGACGCAATGACTTTACCAATCAACGATAGGCTCTTTCATTTAGAAGGCGGGACTATTCTGCCACATTGTGCGTTGCACTTTCTCCCATTCATAAGTATAGGAGTGAACCGTCTTTGTATTTCTATAGTCTTCGATATTAGTCTTTAACCACTAAACCTATAGTCACCTCAAGCCACATATAAACAGCTTTTGTGGCTGCTTAGATTTTTGGGAGTGGCACTTACTCAAGGATTAACTGAACAAAAGGGTGCTGGAGTTGTCACATTGTTCGCTTTAAGTATATATTGGTTGTTACATTGCAAGCAAGCAGTGCAATACCTAGCAAATCCAAAATCATTTCAAATGACCACTAATGCTTTGGTTTTAAAACTTCTTTAGGTATCAGGAGATGTTTTTTTTAAATGGTTAGTTCCCCCAAAAATTAAAGTCAGCGGAGACCAGCGTATTCAGAAATAGAGTCAGTGCGAGTGAGTAAATGAAGATAAAATTATTATTTTTGGGTGAATTATCTCTTTAAGTACTAATTTTCAGGGTGCCAACGTGAACATGTGAAACTTATGTGAACAGCACCTGCACCATTGGCTTCTGAATCCTGACTTGCCACTGCATTAATGCACCCTATGTGGTGCCCTGCTTTTTGTTTTGTTTCTTGTGTTTTCTATTTACAGCCAAGTCCAGTTTGATTTTTTAATGAGAATATGTGGGCTATCATTCTTAATTGTGGTAGTCTATTGGATTACATTGTTTTGTCTGTCATAAACAGCATAGTCGGCAGCACTTCATTTTGTTGATATCTCAGCTGGTTTATAAAGCACATTAAGTTGGCTAAATAAATGTGTAAAATAATATATATATATATATATATATATACACACATACACACACACTCCAATTCAAACATAAATATTTTTTTAAATATTCATATTTTTTATGCTCATCAAGGCTGTATTTATTTAAACAAAATTACAATAAAAACAGTAAAACTGAAATATTATTAGTTTAAAAGAACTGTTTTCTATTTTTCATGACTCGCATGATTCTTCAGAAATCTTTTTAATATCCTGATTTAGTGCTCAAGAAACATTTCTTACTATTATCCATGTTAGGCTTCACAATGTATTTGTGAAAACAATGGTTGTTCTTTTTTACCAGGATTCTATGATGAATAGATTTTATTTGAAGCAGAAATTTTGTAATATTATAAATATGTTTACTGACAAAAAAATTCAAATAGAAAATACTGACAAACGTTGGAACGGTAATGTATTTTATATACACTGTATATGAAATGTGATAAAAAAATTCACTGCACATTTATTATTTGAAAATTTCTTTCAAAAAATAAATTGTGTTTTATCACAAGAACTTTGCATGTAATTCTCAGTGTTTTCAAACAAAAGCAGACGATTAAATTACATATTTCAAATCAGCAACAAAATCTGAAATGAACCCCATGAATGTTGCTTCTTATGCTCAAATAGCTTTTAAAAAGCTTATTTTTCAGGTCCAGCCGCACATCAACCCACAGGTTAGTAAACTGGAAAAAATAAATAAAACCACACACCAGTTAAAGCTTAACCTCTTCCACACAGAGAAAAATGTATAACACTAAATGCTATTGACATTAGGACAAAGCAAGGACAAGGACATAGCTTGGGAAGTGTCGTTTTCTTTCCTGTTTCCAATAGAAATTAGATTTTGTGGTCTTTATTAAAAGTAAACAACATAACAAATTCCTAAATATACGGTTCCCTATATTTAGATGAAACCAGACTAAATCCAATTATTATTAAATGATTGCTAATTATTGTTAAATTATAATTGTTTATTAGTGGACAATGTTATTTATTTTATTCTTACAATTTAATTATCATTAAATTGTAAGTCCACTAACAACTAAACCATGTAATCAGTGCAGTAGCTCAATCTTTGATTGAACATAAGGGACAAATGTCTGCTACCAATTCTTAAGTAGCTAAATGAATATATTGATCAAAAGAAATTTTAGGTTTTGGATCATTTTCTAATCTCCCAACCAGCAGCAGAAACTACTATTAAAAATACAAAATCTGCATATGACCGGTTTAAAAACATCTGGAAGTGTTGTAAATTAGATTTGAGTCCGTTTTCTTTCCTGTTTCCAATAGAAATTAGATTTCGTGGTCTTTATTAAAAGTAAACAACATAACAAATTGCTAAATATACGGTTCCCTATATTTAGATGAAACCAGACTAAATCCAATTATTATTAAATGATTGCTAATTATTGTTAAATTATAATTGTTTATTAGTGGACAATGTTATTCATTTTATTCTTACAATTTAATTATCATTAAATTGTAAGTCCACTAACAACTAAACCATGTAATCAGTGCAGTAGCTCAATCTTTGATTGAACATAAGGGACAAATGTCTGCTACCAATTCTTAAGTAGCTAAATGAATATATTGATCAAAAGAAATTTTAGGTTTTGGATCATTTTCTAATCTCCCAACCAGCAGCAGAAACTACTATTAAAAATACAAAATCTGCATATGACCGGTTTAAAAACATCTGGAAGTGTTGTAAATTAGATTTGAGTTGCCATTCATTTACACATCTTTTCATTTAGGCATCTAAACAACATTTTAGCACTTGGGAATGTTTTCAATTGAACGGAACGTCTGTTAGAACCAGAAACCATTACACTGTTATATGTAAAATGCCTAAATGTTGCTGTTTTATGGAATTGGGAAACTGTGAAATTCCCCGAGTATCAAATGCATAGTGGAGGTATTCTACAGGGATTTCAAAGCATGGGTGGGCTAGTGGTTAGACAGCATCATGCACAAAAAAGTGCTTTACCTTCAGAATCATCTGGTGGATTAAACATGGAAAGAAAAAGGAGGACGATCAGATATACAATATTTCCCTGCTCATCAAACATAAACTGCAAGAGCGAGACTAGTAACAGACTGAAACAAGGTTTATGGACTGTAAGAACAATTGAAAGGAAAACAATTCATTTGGAATCAGAGAATAAGACTTGTATTAGCCCAAGATGCTTTATGGACATTGAAACAAATCAATTAAAATCCCAACATGACAATATCTGAACCAGACAAAATAAAGAATATAACATACCTGGTTCCTCCTCTTCGTCACTGCAAACAATGTTGTACAAAGTGTCCAAAGCGTAACCTAGGATTTCTGTGTCTGCCCTGTTTCAAATAATCACCAAAGACAAGTCATACTATGAGGCAAATGTCTTTACAAAGAATGTTTTATTTTTGACCAAAGTTTGAAACATACCGGTCAGTCTGCAGTATACGAACCAAATGGTCCATAGCCATTGTGCCAACCTCCATACGGTATTTCTGTAATCAATACATCCATTTGACACATGTTCTTATGTACATATTTCTGTCAATACAGAAATTTCTTTTCTGAGACAAAAGTGCTTTAGGAGGTGTAGGAGGAAGCATTTTACGGCAAAATAAATAAATAAATAAAAATCTCACATTGCCTTTAAGGCATGCTTGTGAAATATAAATCATTCTGTGAGATTTAGGCAGCATGTACTGTAGTCCTTCCTTCAACTTTGTTATTCCATTTACTGTAATATCACCAATGCATTTTGAGCAGTGCCCAGTGTATATAGACTTATAAAACAGTTAACTATGGTCCCGACCAGTGTTGGGTAAGTTACTCTAAAAAAGTAATTAGTTACTAGTAACTAATTACATCTTCAACAGTGTAATTAGATTACTGTACAAATTACTCTCTCCAAAAAGTATTTAATTACTTATTACTTTCTAAATCCTATATCAACCTGAACAAGTTAATGATACAAGGATAGACATGAAACGCCTCTTTTAATTCTTTCAATTAAATAATAGATTACATAAATTATTCACTATAGGTTAGGGTCTAATTCTCACTATTAACTGATTTTTTTGCTTCAATATATACTCCTAATGACTGCTTATTTATACTTAGTAAAGTAGTTGTTAAGTTTAAGAATTGGCTAGGATTACGAATATAGAATAAGGTCTTACAGAATAAGACATTAATGTGTGCTTTTTAAATGATAATAAACAGCCAATATCGCAGTAATATTCATGCTAATAACCATAACCAACTAGTTAATAGTGAGAATTGGACACTAAAGTGTTACCAATATTCTTATTAACTCAGAGGGTACATAAAAGCATGCATTTTAAGGTTAGACTTTAAATTTTGATGTTAAATCCACTATTGTATTGTATATAAATGTTCTACCGCTTATAAACAGTATTAAGTTCAATTACATAAGAAATATCTGTAATTAAATTACAGAAAAAACAAGAGTAACCCCTTACTTTACTTTTTCAAGGGAAACGTAATTCAATTACAGCAACTAATTACTTAGTAACAAGCTACACCCAACACTGGTCCCGACCTCTAATTGATTAAATGCATAATTAAATCAAAACGTTATTACAATTTAAAATGGCCATTTTCCATTTCAGTTTATCTTAAAATGCAATGAATTCCTGTGATGACAATTTTTCAGCAGCCATTACCCCAGTCTTGTGCAACATGATCCTTCAGATTTCATTTTAATATGCTGATTTGCTGCTCAATAAACATTTCTTCTAATTATCAATGTTGAAAACAGATGTGCTGCCTAATATTTTTGTTGAAACCATGATACATTTTATCAGGGGTCTTTGATGAATACAAAGTTCAAAATGACAGCATTTATTGGACAATCCTTAATGCAACCTTTCTGTTTCAAAGTATTTAATTTACTACCTTACTAAAACTTTTAAATGGCAGTGTACAAGTACAACACCCATATTACCTCAATTACTAACATCAACATGAAAAGCATTAATTGCTGGTCACCTTGGAAAGAGATTTGAGGGCACGGACAGCATCTCTTCGGTCCTCCAACAGGGTGGATGAAGCCACTCGGTCACACAATTTTTGGATCTGACAATGAACAGACAGACACAATCTTTTTTGTCAACACGTTTGTGAATACCTTGTCATTGCATGGGATAAAGTGAAGTCAAATTATCCATACCTAAAAAAAACTACCACATACAACTATTAACACACCAAACAGCAAACATACAGTCTAACTGAACATATGTCATTCAAACTTACTTTACATCAAGGTAGCATAGACATAAACACTGCCTGATTTGAAAGAGTCATTTTGAAATCCTGATTCATAAGCTTTCGTATTTACACACACAATTGCTGATCTGTTTAGCCTTATGTAATGTTTGTCATTGACTCGATAAGCAGGTGCTTTCAGTTGTTTATAAACTGCACAAATTTTTATTTGTTCACACGTTTATTTGTTTATGCTGTAAATAAACTCACTGTTTCTGCTCCAGTCGGCTGTTGGCCTGTTGGATGCCTTCCCACTACTTCCCAGATGTAATTCATCCTGCTAAGTCTCCGCTTTGGCTAGTATTTTAAACGTCGATGTTGAGACAGATTCAACGTCTGTTAAAGTAAAGAGAATGTCCAGGACAGGCAGACAGTAAATGTCATTAAAAATAGCAGCTGCCTGATGTTGATCTCTCAACACAACAGCACCCAGCCCGGAAGTGACTCGGACGCACATGCGCAGAGACGTGGCGATACGTGGCTGAACACAGCGCCAATGACGGCCTTTTAAAGAGACAGTTACACATAAACACCATGGTGGGCAACTAAATTCTATACATTTATTAATTGACCAGCATATTTTCATGTGTAGTAGCTTTAAAAAAAAAAAAAAATAAAAATAATAATAATAATTTAAATAAATTAAAAAAAATAATAAATTGCTTGTAGTAGGGCAGGGCTGTCAAAATGGCTGAAAAACTAAATTCGAATTTTGTGCTTAAATATTATAAAAATTCGAATTATATTCGAATTTAAAATGCATAATTTCCGTTAGGGTGAATACAAGCTTTTGGCTTCTCTCCTGAGGCCACAAGAGGGCGCATCGAGCATAAGATAACATGACTATCCGTGAAAAAAAGTGCATAATGTTTAAAATAATGTTTATAAACCAATTATTATTAAGTTGCTTAAACAACTATAAACAAAACAGCATAGTGTATGTATACATAGTTTAATACAAAGGGCCGAAAACCAGTGTTGGGGAAAGTTACTATTAAAAGTAATGCGTTACAATTTTGCGTTACTCCATAAAAAAGTAACTAATTACGTTACTTAGTTACTTTTTATGGAAAGAAATGCGTTACGTTACTTTTGCGTTACTTTTAAAATCTGAACAGGGCTTGCTTGTTTGTTTTTAAAATAAAAAAGTTATATTTTTGGCAAATATAAAAGCCTTTTCACACCAAAAGTGAAATGAATAAGCCTCAGGTTGAAGGGAAAGTAAATTTACCTCCGTACAGTAGAATGCAGAAGAAGACATTTCAACACACTTCAGCAATAAAAAAAAGGACACAAATGTTTGTCTAGAGTAATTTTTGCTTATTAGTATGGTTGAACTGGATCATCGAAGGTCAGAAGCAAAGACATTGGTTAATAGAATGGGATTAAATACATAAAGGATATTTGTGTTGTTTAACATTTAATTATTGCAGGTTTGCGTCATATTCTGAGTTGCATTATTTTTATTCATTTTGAGGAATACTGAATCTGTGTTTTT